TTTCTCATTCTGACCCCAAGTCTCTCATATGATTTCTGTGTTGCACACTATTATTATTCCATCCAGGATTGGCAAGTGGGTATTTCTGCCCTGCCGGTATTACCCCTGGTCCTGGAGGATGAGCTCTTTCCCATTCTCGTATAGCAGCTCTCCTCCTGATCATTCCCATTTCTTTCCCTGTAAACAACATACTTATAGACATAATTCCCTCCCCCAAGAGTATAAATCAGGTCGTAGGAACTGGTCTAATTGTTCAACTAGGCTGTTGGGGTCCTCAAATAAAGACTTCCTCTCCTTCTTAAAAGTCCTAACCTCTCTGCTGGTAAGGAGGGGGGGGTAGTTCACCTAAGAGGATACACAGTTATTGTTAGTACTGTTAGTATCAGGGAAGGCAAAATTCTCAATATCTCTTCTACCTTGTTCTAATTCTTGCCAGAACCTAGAGTACGATCCTTCTTTAGGGACAGTGTTAATTACAGCCCCTGTCTCCCTTCCTGGAGTGACTGCTGCTGTCACCAGTTCAATATTAAGATTATAGGGAGCATAACTTGGCTCCTTCTCTAAAAAAAGGAATCTTCTTGTTTACACATAAATTTAAAGCCTGAATTTTCATCAGACCCGTATTTTGGCCAAAATACTGCTGTTTCCTTAATTGGTTCTTTTGTCCAGACTGATACACAATATTTAACCTTTTTAAAATTATTTTTCTTTTACAATCCCTCTAATTTTGGGATTATGTTTCCAATTTCTTATCATTCTTCAGGAAGAACTATTAGTAGGCACTCCCCCAGGGATATCTCCCTGTCCCCTGGAACTCATATTTTCCCATTTTTCCTAACCCTCGCCAGTATGTGCTACAGAAATTTCCCTTCTGCAGTGTACCACACACCAACGTACTGAAAAATGGGGGTGTACCGCCAAGCACTTCCCCGTGCAAGCGTTACCGCACACCTATGAGTTTACCAGATTCCCTGGAACTCGTACTTCCCATCTTTCCTAACCCTCGCCAGTATGTGCTACAGAAATTTCCCTTCTGCAGTTTACCACACACTAACGTACTGAAAGATGGGGGTGTACCGCCAAGCACTTCCCCGTGCCAGCGTTACCGCACACCTGAGTTTACCAGATTCCCTGGTGTACTTCCAAGCACTTCCCCGTGCAAGGATTACCGTACACCAGATTCCCCTGGTGTAGTGCCAGCACTTCCCCGTGCAAGGGCTTACCATACACCAGATACCCGACCCCCAAGGCAATACTTAATATTTCTTACCTTGGTCTGTGCACAGAGTTACCGGATCGATTCTTAAAAACCCGGAGTGCCTACCTTCTTCCTTTCCCCACTACTTCACGGATCCTGCCTCTTTAACCAGTCTCGGGCCCTCTGTCAGCTTTCCGCAGAACCGCCACCGTCGATGCACAGGACCGCTGAAATCAGCGGGGCATGCCTTCCTGCTGCTGCGGCGGTGGGGCTCCCCAGTAGGTGACTGGATCCCGGACGAGCCCCCAAATTGTGGGAAACACTCCGTAGCCAATAACTTAGGCTCAGGCGAGGATCTCAGTGAAGTAGTAATTTATTCGCGATTGCAATGGCGGGCGCCCCACAAGCAGGAGAGAGCGCATCTACTAGTTCCAAAACACAGTTTATATACCTTTTGATGGCAGGACCCTCCCCTGTTTCCCCACTGAGTGGGTAATCCAGGTTCACAATCTATCTGATGCTTCACAAACAATGCATGGCCTTCAGTTGCCGGCCTGTTAAATTTCAAATTTCTTTTGACATTTTTACTGTTTGAAGTGGTAATGTTTCTTCACTTATCTGACTTGACTTGACACCGTGATTTTCACCTAATTGTCCTAAGGAGACTGGTTGTCTGCATTTTACTAGGTCGCCTGCTAAACTTTCTTATCACTGTAAGCATATCTCAGTACCACATTCCCTCCTTCTAAACAATGTAACTCTGCAAAAACAACATTTCTATTCCCACACCAGGTCATGGAATTTGTATTTATTTTTTTCCCTTTTCTTTTTTCCTGAAGTGTTCTTTTTCTGTATTTTGGGGCATCTAGAACCTTTTCTCTCTGTTGTTATGTTTTATTGACAGCTCAAGTGATGGAGGCTATTAGCATTTGGCAGTGAGTAGCAGATGGTACACAAGGGGGCAGCTGCAGACAGCTTACAACAGGAAGCTCTGAGGCAGCCTCCATTTCTTTGTTATTTGTACGGTAGAATTTCTAAGCATTGTGTGATGCAGATAAAATAATGACTGTGAAATGGGTTGTGTACTGCCTGCCGTAAAGAACTGCCACTTGATAGGTACTGGAATCCTGTGTCATTCCTTCCTGTGTGTGAAACTTCTCCTTATGGAATGCATTATGATAAATAAGAAACTACCACACATGTAGATTCCTATAATTCAATTGTCACACCTAAAAGGTCAATAAGCACACTGTTACGGATGACAGCCCCTTAATTTTCATTCCTGAAAGTATACTTTAACCTCCTCTCAGGTGACCTTATCCTCAGCCAGAAGACAGGTTTTGTTCTGTTTGCTTTTAAACAATAAATAGAAACTTTAAAAGCACTTGATTACTGTTACAACTTGCCATTCACCTGACTTAGCTCTTTGTCATAACAGTCATTGTGGTTAATTTGCAATCAGCAAAGTACTCACTTTGAGATGCTACCTGCAGATTTACATTCCAGAGTGGTATGTCCTTGTGCAGAATAAAGGAACATGTAAATATATGTCAAGTTTTATTCATTCTCAACTACAGACCTGGGTTAAAACATGTTGATGGGATTGCTTTCTCCAACGCTCTCCCATGAATTAAGTTTATATGTGATTTTGTCTCAAGATGCAGACAATAGCCGTTATATGAAGCAGTCCTTTGATAGGGAAACTTTCAGATATTTAATGACTCTTCTTATGTTCACAAGAGCACGAATATTTGCAAAGCAGGTTAAAATCATAATTGTGAATACAGAAGTTCTATGCAAAATCCTTAAATTTTAACATGCTGTAAAGAAAATATTAAACTGCAATGTTTATAACCAAAGTAAAATCAAATATGACTCTGCTAACACTCCTCATTTCCCATGCTGCTAAAATGCACGATATCTTGGCTCCTGTGCGTATCCCAATGCTATAGTGGCAGACATTACGTTATTACCAATGTACAATGTTGGGAAACACTTAGGTGTCAGAGTTTCTGAGAGGGATTCATGCTGCTTGTGAATAAGTTCATAGTTCTCAATACACTTTGAATTAATAGAACTGAGAAGACTCATTCATTTGGAAGCATGTTTATAGACAGAAGTAAAGGCTGTTGTGCATAGATAGAATTACCTTGAGTTGTAGAGACGAGGAGCCAAATCTCCACTGTGACCAAGAGAAGTAAGAGGCTTTCCTCAATCCTAAGAAATCCTGAAAGGCTTTCTGTGGTTAGGTAAAGGCTAACTCCTTGGGGGATTGCTCTGATGACACTAAATGTTGCGCAGCCTCTTAAAATGACAACCTTTTGCTTTAATCTAGTAGGTATGGCACATCACAGGATGCCTGCTTTTAATGTAAAATCCTACTGAGAAATGTAAACTGAAGAAATTGGCAGTTAATTGTATCGTGACTGGCTGGGCTCCTGCTCTTGCCTCTGATGTTTCTGGCCAGATCACTGGAAGAGATGTGGAGTAGCTCACTCTAACACTTCATCCAGTTTGGTGATTGCTGTGAAAGCACACCAGGATGTCTGATGTGGTGCTAAGTTCTCTGTGGCTTTCCCTGGTGTATGCTGTAAAACTCTGTTTTGGGACAGGTTTAAAACAATGCTAATCTTGCATTACATGGAATGCTCTTCCATTTTACTTCTTTGTAGCTCTTTGAAAGTGAGTAAATGACTTGATAACATTAAATTTAGGAACAAAAGCATCAGAGAACTTGTCACCATTCCTTTTCCCTCACCGGAGTTATAAAAAGTGGTATTCAAATGTGATCTAATTATCCTTGTTTATTGTTTAATATGTTCTGCTGTCTGATTTTTGACAATCTTGCCTATGCAAGTATGCTTACTTAATAACAAAAAAAGCAAAGTCAGTGATGAAGAAGGCTTTTAGCAGTGTGATTCACACGTTTGGGATAAGGGGCTGAGATGCTTATGTCAGTTAATCCTTCATTGAGTGTTCAACAGGATGCCAAACAGGTATGCAGTGCAGTAGCCTAAATGGAAAATATTTTCTCCATTTACTATTCTGAAAGTAAATTAGTTGTTTTTCAGTGAATATGGGATTCATCTGAAATTTACATGCAAGGCCCTTTTTTTGAATAAAGCAAGTCAAATCCTGAATTATTCATGGTTCTCTCTCTCTCTCTCTCTCAATCTCTCTCTCTCTCTTTTTTTTTTTTTTTAACCCCAGTGTTTGGTTATCCTGGAAGGAAGGCAGCTAGTTTATTCCACAGGCGCACTCTTTTTGTTGCAATAACGGGAACATTGCACTGGTAATTATAGTTTTACTAATTACATGTATTCATTTATTTAGTCCTCATCAGAAGAATATTTAAGTCTAGTTTGCTGTTTGTTGGTGTAGTTAGGTTATGAGCTGTAAGCAGGAAAGAGGTCAAGTCTGTTTGCATGATTTTGTCCTTGATTCTCTTTTAGTATTTTTGGGAAACCTTCTGGAGAAAGGCTCCGTCAATTTTAAATAATTCAAAGTCTACAGATCATATGTTTGAACAGTGCTTGTACAGATATTCACATAACAGGGAGAAATTGTATGAAGAATTCTAGCCCTATGGTTGGTTGCAGCATGCTATCACAGTTATTGTTTTGTTTTATTGCTTCATTGATGATTTTAGTGCTTCATTAATGTCTTTCTGTCAAACTAATTCTCAGTGCTACACTTAGAGGACTGCCCTATTTTGTTCTACTTAGAGTTATTTTTGTTTGTTTGTTTGTTTGTTTGTTTGTTTTTTCCTACAGTAAGAGAAGGACTTGTTTTTTCTTCACAGAGAAAATAGAGACAGATTCAAAATGGTTTGAAAGGAAGAAGGCATATTCTTCACTCGTTTAAGCAGATCTGAGATCAGGCTTGTTACTATCAAACCTGAGAATTTGAACACATGAGCGATGTATTAATCCCAATTTCAGATTGTTATCTGACTGATGTGGATAGGTGAGTTAAATTGTTTTACTCGTGAAATATTGAACGCTGAACAAAATCCCTTCAAGTTCTTTAGGTTTATGTATATGCTTTTGACCTATTTGAAGGTTTTAGTATGTGCAAAAACAGAGTGGGTGACCATGAATAAGACAAAGGGCAAATAATTGTGCTACGTCATGACTAATTGTGTGAATTTTATTAATTTCTAAACACAAAGACCTAAAAGTACCTAACAAAGGTTCTGCTCAAATTGCCATTAATCATATACATAAAGACAAGAAGAGTTTCATTCATATAACATTGTTCATAGAAATCAAGTGACTGTTATAACTCATTGCCAACATTATTAATATTAAGTCTTTTATTGGATGACAGGAATTTATGCTGAGGCTGCATATAATTAGTTCCTGAACAGCCATTTAGCATAAGCAGTTTCAAATATGGCAACCACACATCAATTTCAGTGGTGACTTCTTAACCCTGAAAGCTTAATTTTGTATTTGAAAGTAACCGAAAGTTTTTAAAGGTCACTTGTTTATGTCTGGAATTAATATGAGCTCATAACATCATGGGCTGGATCTTTTATAGGAGTGACCTGGCAAGACTGCTGAAATTGGTGCTAGGATGCTAAGGCTTGCCATCTGACACTATAGGACCTGTGCTTCATAAGAATAAGACGCATATGACACTGTCATTACTCTGTTTACTCCCTATAGAAAAAAATGCTTTATTGATGAAGGAAATTTTTGAAAACAAGAATAAGGAACCACGTCTCTTGATTGCTGTGGGTTGACAGTATTAATAGATGAACATCAGTCTACTCTTTTGGTGAAAGAAGACCAGAAAGTAAGTGCATACTTTATTACTTAACAAAGCACAATAGTCTCTTTCAAGAAGTCTTGAGGCTGATTCTCAAGGCGCTTGAATTCATCCACTGAATCTTTTCTCACGGAGAAGCTTGCCTCTCAAGGTAACAGGATGAATGAACACTGGATTGTTTGCTTTCTGCCAGTCGTAGTTCGCATCTTCCCCCAGTGGTGCATGTTATAGCAGTTATCTAATTGTCTGTTTTAAAATGGAGTATATTAGGCCTAAGATGTTAGTGGAAATACTTTGTGCACTGGTATTTGGGAATGTTCTCCCTTTACTTTCTTCATAAATGATTTATCAGCTGCATTACTGCTTGCATCGTCTTTATTATGCCTCCCAAAAATTTTTTACAGAACCCTGTTTTACTTAAGGGCCACAGAAAAGATGAATGAAGCTTAATATTTCACCATGAATTTACTTGAAATTTGTCAAGTAACTTTCTTATTTCGTAGCCACTGGCACATCCTTAATAGTACCAGAGGGAAAACAAAGAAGGTAGCTCATCTGAGTAGCATATGCATTTATCATCTTGCAGTATGCGCTGAAAAAGAGGCAGAAAACCAAGAGACTTGCTGCGTTTTAGGTTTTGTCCTCAGAATTTGGGCTGTATTTTGTCCTCTGGCTCCCCTGAAACATTGTCAGCTGATGGGCACCCAAGCAGGAACTGGCTGAGAAGACAAATCCCTTCGTCACAACACAGCACAGTGCAATTGCTTGGTCAAAGAGAACACCATTTGTCCTCCCAGCTCCCTGGCAGTAGTAGTTTACTTGTCCACCGTGAAGTACCTGATTTTGTCCTCTTACACCTATTTTATCCCAGTGTAGTCTATAAGCCTTAGCAGACTTGTGCTTCAGGCCCAAACACAGCAGTGTGGTTAAACTCACCTTGATTTTAATCAGAACGCAGCCTGTGCTTAAAGCTAATTTTGTACTTACATATGCAACTGCAGATTACTTCTTCATTGATCGATGCAAGGGGAAAATTGAGCCCACAAATACATGTGGAACGAGGCAGGTATCTGTTTTTTGAGATTCTCTTTCTAGTTTCCTCCTCTTTTTCCCATTTTTCTGTACTAAAATGCTATCTTTTTTGGCTTTCCAAAGGCTTGATGATGGTGTTTTCTGTAGCTAAACTAGTGTCTCCAGACTTATGCCAACAAATGTAATCCATGTGCTTTCCGTCTTTCCTTAGCAGTCTCACTGGACCTACAGTAGCTGTTAAAGCAGTTCTGCTGCTAAAACTTCTGTTTAGCTTTGCCTTTTTGCTTTAAATGTTTGAGTTTCTTCAGGCCTCCTAATTAGAGATGATGGGGCAGTTACGTCTGTCACGGAGCCTCTGCAGGATGCCCCAGGTGTGTGCAGCCACCTCTGCTCTGTAGATGGGGGTAAGAAGGGGAGCACAAAGCCATCGTGGTTCGCTGGTGTAGGAGCATTTTACCTGCTTTATTTCTTTGCCACAGCTCCAGTGTTTTCCAAGGTGACCAGGAGATGTGCTTAGGCATGCTGACGGGTGTCAATGTAAATGGCACTTTCTGCCCACTACTGCTAGGATAGCTGTCCCAGCGTCCCCTTGGTGCTGGCAGAAGAGGCCCTCTTGCTGGCAGTTGCAGTAGAGCAGCCGAGACTTGAAGAAAGGCCAGGAAACAATTTTTCAGTTCCTTTCCAGGGCTGGTGCTTTGCTGAGGATTTCGCTTTGTGGCTACTCCAGGCTGGTAATAAAGCCTTACTGCAGGAGGTGGGTGGGGAGTCCTTCCCCGAGCCAGGTCAGCCTGCAGTCCCTCACGATCAATACCTGTGTAGGAAATAAAGATAACCTTGCCCAGCGGTCCCTGGATTCTGGTAATCAGGACACTTCGTTCACCTCTTCTCTTGAAGCATATAAAAAACACCTGCCTTTCCTGTTGAGCAGTGATAGCGGGTGGCAAATATGAACCGCAAAGGTGTAACTCCATCCCAGGCCCTCTGGCACAGCACACAGTCAGTGCCACTGAGCGCCCTTGTAATTGCACCCCAAGTCTCAGTGCTTTACACCATGCCCTTGAGCTATCTGATTGTATCTCTGCAAAGAGCTCCTACAATATGAGCAGAATACGCAAGGACAGCCTAACGCCCTGTGCCAGTGGCTGGGGGTCCCCTTTCCATCAGGATGTCTCCGAAGTGCCCGGACGGCCCCACAAGGACGGTGCTTTGTGCCTGAGAGCGCAGGTAAGCAAGCATGCGCCAGGCAAGCTGGTGCTCTCTACAGCCAGGCAGCGCAGGAGCTTGCAGCGGCACAAGGACTGAGCTGCAAGGAAGGGAGCGTGCCTTGTAAGCAAGCTCCTTTCGCTGGAGTAATGAGCGGAGCAGCAGTCCCAGCAGCAGGGTGGGACAGAAAGGATTTCGGTCTAAGCACTGTAGAGCCCCTGTCAGAGTGTTTTGTGGTCCAAGAAGGAACAAAGTGCTGAAAGAGGGAGCAAACTGGTTTCCAGAGCCAGATGAGGTTGTGAATCAGAAACTTTATTTGAGGTAGGTTTGAGAGCCGTGGGGTGGGGTGGGGTGGCGCAGAGGCGTGCTGAGCTGTCTTGGTCCATAGGTGTGGGGCCCGTTGGTGTGCTTGTAGGCCCATGGGCGGGTAGGGCCGGGATCCTTGTGTGCTTCCTGCTCCTTTGGTGGCTGTGGTTGTAGAACGCTGCCCCAGCCAGTGGAGGTCAGTGGCAGAGGAGGGTCTGTCAGTGGCAGGCGTTGGTGTGCTCGGGGCTCTGTGCTGGGGTGCGAAAGGAAAATGGTCAAAAAGAGCAGCCCCAGCCTGTTGCCAGGGTCAGCCCCTGTATCCCTGGGAGAGGCTCTGTGAGCCTGCCAGCAGGGTGGGGAAAGGGCTGGGGCGATCTTATCTGTCCCAGAGAGCGGGGCGAGTTCTGCGTTGGAGTGCTGGAAGAGAGAGGCCCGGAGTGTGCCATGGCTTCATTCCCTCGCTGTCAGTGTGTCCAGCTGTAACAGAGGAGGTGACAAACAGAGCAGCCACCCCCTGGCAGCACTGGAAGCCATCCCTTGCTCCCTGCGCGAGGCTCTCCCAGCCTCACACCAAGGCCATCCAACTCGCATCTTCCTGATGTCCAGGAGATGTTTGTTGTATCTTAAATGTGTCACGTCCTCACTTAGTGAGGTGAGACCGTGGGGGGAAATGGGTTTGGGCTGCCTTATCTGTCCGGTAGAGAGTTGCCATCTCTTCTGCCCGAGTTCTCATGGGGAGACCGGCCAGGAGTCTGCTGTGGTCTGGTCTCATTCCTGTGTGTTTCTGGCTGAAAGAGAAGCACCAAAGGGAGCAGCATCCCCTGTGCTCACGAGCAGCCCCTGCCTCTGTGCCCGAGGGTCTCCGGCGACTCACCAAGGCTGTCTGTGCCCCGTCATCTTGATGCAACGGTTTACTCGTGTCCTGGCCCGATCCTGTCACCTTCCTGCGTGCTGTGGGAGCCTGTTGGGTGTGGGTTGGGGTGATCTTACCTGTCCTGTAGAGCTCTGGCAGCTCTTCCTTCCAGCTGAATTCTCAATGGGAGACAGTCAGGATTGGGCCGTGGTCTGGTCCCATCGCCGTCTCTTTCTGATTTTAAGAAGAGAAGGAACAACGGAGCAGCATCCCCCTGTGACCACGGGCAGCCCCTGCCTCTGTGCCCGAGGGTCTCAAGAGTCTCACCACGTCCGTCTGTCTCCTGTCATCCTGATGCAGCGGTTTACTTCTGTCCCGACCCGATTCCGTCACCTTCCCACTTCCTGTGGACTGTGTTGGGGTGTGGGTTGGGGCGATCTTACCTGTCCTGGAGGGCGTGGAGAATTGAATGGCTCCGTGCTGGCAAGGAGCGGGCAGGAGCGAGTCTGTCAGTGGCAGGCGTTGGTGTGCTCGGGGCTCTGTGCTGGGGTGCGAAAGGAAAATGGTCAAAAAGAGCAGCCCCAGCCTGTTGCCAGGGTCAGCCCCTGTATCCCTGGGAGAGGCTCTGTGAGCCTGCCAGCAAGGTGGGGAAAGGGCTGGGGCGATCTTATCTGTCCCGAGAGCGGGGCGAGTTTTGCGTCGGAGTGCTGGAAGAGAGAGGCCCGGAGTGTGCCATGGCTTCATTCCCTCGCTGTCAGTGTGTCCAGCTGGAATAGATGAGGAGACAAACAGAGCAGCCACCCCCTGGCAGCACTGGAAGCCATCCCTTGCTCCCTGTGGGAGGCTCTCCCAGCCTCATACCAAGGCTATCCATCTTGCATCTTCCTGATGTCCAGGAGATGTTTGTTGTAGCTCAAACTGGTCACGTCCTCACTTAGTGAGGTGAGACCGTGGGGGGAAATGGGTTTGGTCTGCCTTATCTGTCCGGTAGAGTGTTGCCATCTCTTCTGCCCGAGTTCTCATGGGGAGACCGGCCAGGAGTCTGCTGTGGTCTGGTCTCATTCCTGTGTGTTTCTGGCTGAAAGAGGAGCACCAAAGGGAGCAGCATCCCCTGTGACCACGGGCAGCATCTGCCTCTATTCCCGAGGGTCTTTAGCAACTCACCAAGGCTGTCCATGTCCCGTTGTCCTGATGCAGTGATTTAGTCCCGTCCTGGCCCGATTCTGTCCCCTTCCTGCTTGCTGTTTGGGCATGGTGTCTGTGGGTTGGGGTGATCTTACCTGTCCTGGAGAGCGTTGGCAGCTCTTCCTTCCAGATGTGTTCTTGAGGGTAGAGAGGCCAGGATTGGGCCGTGGTCTGTTCCCATCGCCGTGTGTGTTTCCAGCTGCAAGAGAGAAAGCCAAATGGCAGCAGCCTTCCCCTGTGGCCAGGAGCAGCCCCTGCCTCCCAGCCAAAGGCTCTCCCAGCCTCACAATAGTGCCGTCCATCCAGTTTCTCCCTGTGGGCCAAGAATTATCCATGTTTTAGCAACTCCACAGGCCTTGTGATCATGGTGGGGAATAGGTTGGGGGTCGCTGATCTGTCCTGTAGAGCATTGACACATTCTCCAGCTGAGGTCTGAAGGGGAGAGAGGCCAG